AACTGCAGTAGCTTTACATGCTAAGCAAATACGGGCTCTTTTTTGGCGGGGACAAGGCAAGTCGTGACCAGTTGTGCTTTCGTCCCAGGTTCTGTCTCATGTCTGCCAAGTAAAACCTAACATGAAGGAGAACATGACCAAAAGTGTGTACTCCATTCCTTGCAATTATGGCAAAAATATGAAGGTGAAACAAGCTGTCTCCTAAAAATAAAGCTGGAGGTATATCAAAAAGCTACAGACAATAAAATCAGACATAGCTAATCATGCATAGAAGGAAAGTTGTAATCATCAGCCCTGAATAATAAGTGAAAATACTAGACAAAAAAGAACACTAGAGATTTAGATGTCTGAAAGAATTAGTGCATATACTAGGCTATGAGGACCTTCTTAGAAGGCCTAGCTTAGAAATAAATATGATATGGGAGCCACTAATAATGAAAGGCAAATGACAGCAAGTCTTCAACAGCAGCACCTGTAACTGTTGCAAAAGAGAAAAGATTCAGTGAGTGCAAGCAAGGTTAGGTTTAAGGCTTCAAATTCTCCACAGAGAATTGTCCCATAGAACAATTGTTCTTTAATTCTTAATTAATTAATTAAGAACAATTAGTTCTTTAATCAACCTAGTTGATTAAAGCATTGGTTCGTGAATTTGGTGACATAGTGATTGTGATTGTGGACTATTCTTATCTTTAGTACTGCCTAATTATTGCTCACTTTGTTTCCACTGTGTGTACTTAAGGTGAACAATAATTGAGTAGTACTAAAAATAAGAACTAGATGAGAGATACCATATTAAATAAGGTGTTCAGTTCATAATTTCCTGTAGATTACCCAGATTAATATACACCTGATAAAGGTTGAAGGGTACAACAGCCAAAGCATTGTCATGAAAAGGACAAGGATGAGTATAATAGTTCAAATGTAAATAATTATAACAGAAATTCAGACAGAAATCAGGGAATATTAGCTTTACAGCAAAAAAATCCACTTCTCAATTTGGGGATAGGGGGTTAAGGTCATTATTCAATATACTTTCTTTTATATATACAGCAAGCAAAATTTTCAAAGATAACAATCTTTAAAATATAAAATTTTTTTTTTAATTTAACCTTTAAAAAATAACAGTTCATATCATCAAGTGTCTGATAGTATATTTTAAAATGTTAATAGAATTTATGCCTTTTAGTATTATAACACTACCATTTATTCATATATATTTTTTAATCTCATAGACTTAAGATAAAAGTTATGTGGGTAAACAAAATTTATCCCTTTTTTACAAATTTATGCATATTTAATTTGGTTCAACTCATGCCTCTTTCTGAAGTTGCTTATTTTTGTAGTAGACAATAATTTCTTTTTATTTAATCAAATATTTGATAAGAATATTATCAAAAAAATAAGTTCTGTGAGCTGCAATTTTTACCCAAAGGTACATCATAGAACAATTATTTAAACAAGACTCTGAATATAAACTTTATATATTATTTCAAGAAACAAAAAAATGTTAAATTTTGTAAGAACAATACTTATAAAAAAAATAAAGGCATGAAAATTATTTGTAGAAATCAAAATTAAATATTATTCACTTCTTTGTAAACAATAAGAACTAATAACATAGAAAGTATCTAAAAACACATTTAAAAACGTACTGCAGTGATTTTTAAAATTAACTTTTCTTAAAAAGGGAGAAATTACTGCAATACCTTTACTGACACATCAGGTAACTTTTTCTTTGCACACTAATTGTTGAGCATTACAGAAATAAAATATGAATCACATTCGTGTTTTATTGCTTTGATCTCTATAATATACCATTTATAAACAGAAGTTATTTTTTGGCAACTACAGAGACTTTGCTACTGAGGTAGTATGATTTGATTAAAATGAATATGCTGATTCTGAATCCATACTCAGAATTTTTCTACATCAGGAAATTGTGCTGAGGAAAATTTATTTACATTTACATGCAGACTACTGTCTTCACATTTGCTGTTATCACATTTCAGCTGTTGCACCCTTTGGCCTTCATGTGCTTGTCTATCTGTTAAATTTTAAACTGCTTTTTATTTGATCAGCATTGTTCTTGCTCTGCTGTACATGTCTAGGAATATTTCATCTAGTTTTTATTTAGTACTGCTCAGTTGTAACTCACTTTGTTTCCAGTGAGTCCAAGAACACACTGTCTGGTTTTGGTAGTGATTGAACACATAATTATTATGCCACCAAATTCACAAACCAATGCTTTAATCCACATGGGACAATTCTGAATGATGATCTTGGAACTTTAAACCTAATCTGCCTGCATGTCATACTTGCCTGCACTGAGGTTTCTTCTTTTACTGCAGGTGCTGTTGAAGAATTACTGTAATTTCTCTTTCTTTATTAACAGCTCCCACATCATATTTATTTCTAAAGGAGGTCCTCATAGACTAGCATATGAGTTGATTCTTTCAGACAGCTGACTCTCCAGTATTTCTTCCTATCCAGCATTTTCAGTTCATTCCATGAGGGCTGATGACTACCCTATTCTGTCCATACATGATAAGCTATGTCTGAATTTATTGTCTCAACCCTAATTATGGCCTTTACTTAACCGCTTTACTTTTAAGGGGCAGCTTTCATCTTTATATTCTTTGCCACAACTACAAGGAATAGAGTACACACAGTTCTTGGTCATGTTCTCCTCTATGTCAGGCTTAACTCAGCAGAGATTTCTTCAAAGGATGGAGCTGCTTCTGAATATTGTCTAGATGTTGTTTGGACTGCAGATATTCTGAATATTTTCTGATAAGCCCTTGACATAAAGAAGAAAGACTGTGGCAGTTCCACTTCTCAATGATCCTTATATTTCTACCTGCAGAAGGTGATGTTCTGAAGGATATATTCAATGCATATCACTTTTTGTTGGTATGCCACGATTTTTGCATGATTGTAGGTATCAGATAATCCTTTTCTGTACACTGTATAGATGGTGAGAATTAAGTTATTAGGTATTTTCCAGTGAAAGTTGACTTTTGATATACAGATATTTTGAACCCATTCTCTCTGCAAAGTTATTAGTACATCCATGAAGACTAGCTGATTATTATTATTTTCTTCTTCCATTGTGAACTGGATCAAAGGTTTTATTGAGTGCACATGGTTCAACATCTCCCTGGTGAGGCTAGAGTATGAAGGTCTCATCTACATATCTCAGACATAGTGATGTCATTCCTAAAGCTATTTCCTCAAAGTATTCCATGTATACATTCACCATCACTGGTGACAATGCTAAACCTATAGACAAGTCTTCCTCCTGCTGTATGTCAGATTTTAGCTGGAAAAATAGTCTATACACAGAACATCAACTTTTTCATCAAATTACCTGTTCAAATGCCCAAGGGAGGTGTCAAATTTCAATCAGTTTCAAACCATTAACAAAGTTTCATTTGTAGGAACTCTGATGAATAAGCATGCCAAATCCAACCTTACCATCGAATTGCTTTAGATATCTACTATGCCTCTGCAACTGACTATAGGTCTCAATAAAATACCAATTTTGTGAATCTTGAGGAGACCATAGATAAGCGGCAACTTGGTGTAATGTTGTCTATACTTATTCAGTATGAACTAGTCTTTGTTCTTGTTTATGGTGTTACAGCTTCTCAGTTTTATAGGTTGAATCCTTTTTTACCATCCTCAACTAGTCTTGCCAATTTCTCGGAGTATTCCAACTTTTCCATCAACACCATAGCATGGTCTTTTTTAACTAGCAGCATGATAATACTAGGGAAAATTTATATTAATTACATTGTATAACAAAAAACAATGACTTTTTAACTGCTACCCAGACTGGACTAAAAGTACACTAATTCAAATCTCAAACTCTGAATTTTCCTATCATATCAGGTTCTTGTAATATGCATATGGAATATTTATGTACAAGAAATTATTATAATCATATCATTCACTTGAACTAGTAACATGGGATTATACAGAAGTTTTTTGTGTGGAGGGGGTCTCAAAAGTGCTGAAAATTATACTTATTTAATAAACATGCTAACAGCATATCAAAGAATGGAATGACAGATGTCTCTAAAAATGAACTTCTTAATTTCTTATTTTAATTTTTTTCAATGATTCACATGGTGAGAAGTTCATGATATATTTGAAATAGAATCAAGATATCAAGGTCAGTTGTTGCTTGATTGTTTTTGTTTAGTGACATATCAACATCTCTATGAGTTATTTAATGCTGAAATCTAAATATTTTGTATGCAATTTTTTTTTTTGGCAAAAAAATTCTGTTATTGTTTCACCAAGCAAGAAGTGGGTGTCTATTTTGAATATCACTTCCTTCTTTACTTTCATTGTAACTTGTCCTCTTCACTCCTGAAGGTGTTTCAACCAGCTTTGCCAGAACTTCTTTAGATCAAAAACTTAACGAAGCATGAATGTGAAAGATCAATTGGTGGAGTGAAGTACTTAGACAGAAGTCCTTGGTCTAGAGGAGAAAAGTGGGGATCATTTTATACACATTATATACAACTGTGTTAAAATAATTGTCACTGCTTATCATTTCTTATAATTTGGTCAACTTAGCAGTTTTTGCTTAATGAGAATAAATAATTTTCATATTCAATTTAAAAAATAAAAATTATAACAACTATTTTATTAACTGCTTTTATAATTAAATTACTTAGTTACTTAATTAGTTATTCTAAAAAGCCATTTTTGTCCTGAAAATAGTACTGAGCTTTGCCCTTCAAATAACAATTTGAGAATCTAAAGGGGTATAAGCAATTCGTGTGATTTTTTATTAGTACATTTTGAAAATCTTTAAATTTTACATTTTCTAAACTTTATTTCTGGACAGTTTATTTTTGTCAGTAATCATCATAAATAATTTGCCTTTATAATAGCATAAAAACAACAAATCATTTTTCAATTTACTTTAAAATTTTTACAAAAAAAAAAAAATTACTGCAATAAAGTTCCAAAGAAATTACCATACTTGCCATAAATATTTGGACCATGTTCTGTAAAAATATTATACATGATTATATTTAATGGTGCAATAACTAATTTGTCATAATAATAACTGTCAATGATCACAACTGGAACCTGAAATATACAAAATGAAAATTATATAAAGGATGCAAACTAATTTATTAAATCACAGAACTAAACAAAAATCATCACTAGACAATCATTTTTATACAGACTTCTGAAGTCAAATATCAGAAATGTCATTTGACCTAAGCTTGGTTAAAGTAGTTTTTAAAATAAATCTAATAAGTATGGATAGTTCAAGGAGTATTGACATTTGTGCTCAGTAACTTAAATATGAAACAAGAAATTAGAAATATTTTTATTTGGTGTTTTTGAGTTGTGATCACAAGTACAGGATCTCATTTCTTTTTTCAGTTAAAAAAAAAAAAAAAAAAAAAAATTTATTCTGTTATTTTTCTGTGTATAAGTACTTTGCTTAGTAATCAGAGCTGTGAAGTTGGAACACAAAACCTTTGACTCCAACTCCTCTGTTGTGGCACCTCTGACTCCAAATCCTCTTTATGTAATAAGGTGGTTATGGCCTACAAATCTCATAAAGCCTATGCATATGCTCCTAACTTGAGTAGGCCTATGTCATTATAACTGGTTTATATCAAAGAATAAAATTGTACCTTTGTATCATACCTTTTCATTCTTCAATATTTTCTAACAGAATTAGAGACAAAATCTTTGAAAGGATATAGAAGAAATAAAAATGCTATAATGTAAGACTTTTTACATACACAGGCAAAAATAAGTTTAAGATGTTTAAAGTTTTATTCATTTCAGAATATGTTTCTAATAAAACAATATAAATTAGTTTTATTGTGCATGTTTTATGCAGAATTTATTTCTCTTTCAAATGATGTAAAAATTGTATATTTTTCTACAACATAAAAAATTTTAATGCTGGATTAATTTAAATTATCCAAATTTGCTGGCAAAATAAGTTTAAGACCGCATGGTTATTATTACATTTTATTTATTTTTTAAGCGTTTCACCCCAAGCAAGGCGGAAAGCCACTAGGACGCAAGGGGTTACAGAAAACTTGGAGCAATATCAGATAGGAGTGATAGAAGAAAGGATGAGGAGAAGGGTAGTGGATAGATCAAGGCAATTGGAGATGTCAATTGACATTACATTTGAATAGCTGGAGATTATAGCTCTCAGGGAAACTGGAATAGGGAAGGGAGTTCCACAGGCGAGAGATGTGAGACATGAAGCTATTGGAGTAGAAGAGATGGCTACATTTAGGAGTTTCGACCTGGTGGTGGGGGGGGGGGATCAACGGCCAATCCTCCACCCTCACCAAATAGTGGGCATGGGAGGTATGCTTTCAATAAAATTTAAGAATAATAGGAGAAAGAAACGGCGAAAACAATTCCAAGTTCAGACAATTTATCAAGCAAGAAGAGTCAGCCACTACATCATGAGAATACTGACAAGACACTTTTGCATCATAAGCAAAGACAGTCAATTTTCCTTTTTTTTCCTGATTTTTCTTTCGAACCGGGATTTCTAACTAAACCATCAAATAGGTTAGAATGATTAGGACAAAATGTGTTACTATAGGCAAACACACTGACAAGTAGGGGGAGAAAAAAATAAAATTTAAAGATTAAAACAAATAAAGAATTAAATAAAGTAGAAAAAAAAAAATTTAAAATGAGTTTTCGGCAGAGCAAAATTATACTCACACAGGGCAGCAAGTGTTTGTCCGCTTTCTTCCTCATGATAACAAGTGAATAAACGGCTTAAGTCCAAGCATCGAAGACATGTCTTTGGCTAGATGCGAAAGTGTCTCGTCAGTATTCTCATGATGTAGTGGTCGACTCTTCTTGCTTGATAAATTGTCTGAACTTGGAATTGTTTTCACCATTTCTTTCTCTTGTTGGTCTTAATTTTATTGAAAGCATTGTCCTCTAAGCCCCTATTATTTGAGGAGGTTATTTTATTGATCCCCCACAAACCAGGTCGATGCTTGGACTTAAGGTAAGCCGTATATTCACTTGTTATCATGAGGAAGAAAGTGGACAAACACTTGCTGCCCTGTGAAAGTATAATTTCGCTCTACCGAAAACTCGTTTTAATTTTTTTTTTTTCCTACTTTAATTCTTTATTTTTTTTAATCTTTAAATTTTGTTTTTTTTAATTTTTTTTTATCCCCCTACTCGTCAGTGTGTTTGCCCATAGTAACATTTTGTCCTAATCATTCTAACCTATTTGATGGTTTAGTTAGAAATCCCGGTTCAAAAAAGTTATAGTAAAAATGAGCAAAAAACAAAATGTTTATCAATATTTAGTGCCGTAACCTTTATTATTAATTACAGCTTCACATCGCCTAGGCATCAAGCTTGATAAGCGAGCACAAAAATAATTTGGAATGCTCTGCCATATATGCTTAATATAATCATATAATTGGGCTAAATTTGTTCGTTTTTTAGTGTGAACTCTTTTAAAAATATAATTCCATAAATTTTCAATAAGATTAAGATCTGGACTCTGTGGAGTCCATTTAATGATATCCAAAATTATGGTGACCAAAAATTTGCATTACTTTTTTGGCTTTATGAATGGGGCTATTATCTTGTTGATAAATAGCTCCAGGTGGCATTTGGTCAGTTAAATATGGCAGAACATGTTCCTTAACTAGCTGCATATAGTCCACACTGTTGAATTTCCATCAACTTTAACAAGTGGACCAATACCAAAGCTACTGAATGCATCCCACAGCTTTACACCCCTGCCTTCTGCTTGTGCCGTCTTTTTGACACATTTATGATGGAATTCCTCAGTTGGGCGGCATCTAACAAAAGTTTTTCCATCTGATCCAAAGATGCAAAAGAGTGACTCATCATTCCAAAGAACTCTATACCAGCCGTCGACTGTTCATTGAATGTGATTTTTCATAAAATTCAGCCGCTTGAGTTGATTCTTCTCTGAAATAATTGGCTTTTTTCTAGCAATGCACCCGAATAATCTAAATTCTCTTACATGGTTTCAGACAGTTTGCAGCGTAAAACTAATGCCAGTTTTACCAGATAATTGGCTGCAAATGTCCACAGCCATCAGCATTCGGTTAGCTTCTGAAAGCCTATGAATTTGTCTATCCAGTGGCACTGTTGTTTTTCTTGGGGCTCTTGATCTTTGCCTATCCAGTATCCTAGTAAAGCTTCCAAGCCATTTTTAATTGCTTGCTTATGTTCATAAAGGAAATTTTTTGTTGATGAAGTAACACTATTTTTGATCTAGTCACTGGGCTAAGACAATGATGCTTTCCTATAGTGAATTAATTGTATAACAATGCTCAATTATTACACTATATAATGTATTAATGACCAGCCATTTAGCAAATAATTTGAATCATACCCATGTGGTCTTAAACTTATTTTGCTGGCAAATTTGGATAGTTTAAATTAATCCAGCATTAAAATTTTTCAAGTTGTGGAAAAATATACAATTTCTACATCATTTGAAAGAGAAATAAATTCTGCATAAAGCGTACATAATAAAACTAATTTATATTGTTTTATTAGAAACATATTCTGAAATGAATAAAACTTTAACCATCAGTCTTAAACTTATTTTCGCGAGTGTATATGCATCTTAGCAAATAAGAAATAAGTACAGAATAAAAATAAAACTACCTTATAAAAGAAGTTGAAATATAATCTACAGGATGTAAAAGACATAACAAAAAGAAAAATTCTATAATGTAAGATATTTTTTACATATATAGTTTTGCAAATACAAACTAACTACAAAAAAATAAAATAACTTTAAAAAAAGAAGTTGAAATTAATTTTTTTTAAGGAAATAGTAGATATACAGTAGAAGAAATAACAATAAAAATAAAAATTCTATAATGCAAGACTTTTTACATAAAGTATAAATTCAACTGGAGTCAGTCAGTATAGTTTTTACTGACTCCAGTGACTCCTTAATTACTTCTGACACTGACTCGATGACTCCAACTTCACAGCCCTGTTAGTAATGCAACATATAAATGATTCTATACATGAATGTCACCATAATTACAGAAAAAAATTTTTTAAATAAATAAAAATCAAGAATAAGCTACTTCATATTTTAATGTGAAGTAGATTATATCATTTTATGAAAACTGACAGCTGACAATAATTAATAATAATCATGAAATATACTGTGCATTTCTAACCCATGTTTTCCTAACTTCATAATACAGTATCAGAACTCAATATAATATGGCATTTTTGGTTCATACAGGATAAGTGTAGCACATGTACCAAACTAATTAGCAATATCAGTGAGTGTTATTAAAAATCTGATTGTTGGTCTTCTGTTGAGTTCGCTGATATGGTTTTAAGATTTTAACTCAAATCTGAAAAAGTATTAAGAGAATGGATGAAGAGTAACAACTTTTATTGTGAAATTTATAATAAATCAAATGTTGAAATGTTTCACAGAGGCACTTTTAGAAACTGTTACAAAGGATATTGTACACTTCAGATAGAATCAGTAACAAATTAACAGATTCATTTAAAGATTCCAGAAGTTGCATCATATAAATCTTTCACAACAAATATGGTACCAAAAGCTTCCGAGTTAGTGACTGTTTCTACCAAGATGACTGGAGTATGCTAATCATAATAATAAACTCTTCACACTGATTGATTAATCAGTCAGAACAAGAAGTGTTTTTAATGACTCTATAAGTTTGTAAAAGATAACACCTTGTCCAGGTGATACTGAGAATTCAATGGATGTAGCAAGTAAGCAATGATGAAATCTTAAAGAAAATGCTGATAAAAAGAACACTTGCAATCAGAAAGAGATAACTGACATTTCTAGGGCATATAATGAGGAAAGAGGGCTTGGAAAATTTGATATTTACAGGACATATTGAAGGCAAAAGGGGACAGAGAAAAACAATGCATAACCTACTTAGCAAGCTTGAGTAAATGGATTGCAGGGCAAGGTTTTGCAGTTTTACTCTGATGTAACATGACTGGAAGATGGTTACTACTGCATGTTTATAGTGTATAACTGCTGTTCTGAATGTTTGTTGATAGTTATGTACTCAATCTAGTTC